GTTATTTAGGATATTGAACTTGGACCTACTTTTTGGACAAATTCAGCTCCTGGCAACATGTGGGTGATGCTTTTTCTAGTGTAGACAGCTTGAGGGCAACAACCACTCAATCTAAAGCTGCCGAGCTATTTCAGAAGCCCCGTCCACATTGCTAACTGGGGCAGGCAGGATGCCCAGGAAGAACCGAGGCAGAGGGATGGATTTGGACAAGCAGTCAATTGACCAAGTAAAAACAATGAATAAAGGCCTGGTTACTTCCCCACAAGAAGCCCAGGCTGAGGGGAAATGAGAAGAGACTAGAAAGTAGTCTTTTGCCTTCCTCGCCCCTCTTCTGTTCTGTCATACCTCCATGCCTGGGTCTAGGTGTCCAAACTGACTTCTCACAGGACAGCTATTTAGGGTGGGTCTTTAAGGAAGCCCTGAGCATGAGTATGGAAGGGGGATGGGGCTGCTCATCAGGCTAGATTCCTTGGAAAGGCCCATGGTGAGTTATCAGTGGGCAGATGGGTAAAAGACTCCCTACACCAAGGGTTGATTCAAATTCAAATTCAAAGGATTGCTCACTAGTTACTAGTTATTCTTCTTCTCAGCCAGGCAAACATCCAGAAAGCTACTACCAATAGAAAACCCTCTTTATCAAGGACACTGATGAGCATTAAAGGTAGATATAAATGTCCTTTTCCTTCAGATACACTAAAGCAACAGCTTTAACCTTCACGTGTCCTGCTCCTTATATACAGTCAAATCTCACTTCTCTGTGATGAGGGGGCAAGGAACAGAGTTACTATGATCTGCAGAGTTCAGTGAATACCACAGAATCCAGAACACTTATTTTAGCAAACAGCTTCAGCCTCCATCCCCCACCCAATCTCTCTCCAGTCTACCTCTGACCATCTGCCTGTATATGCTGAAGGAATAGAAATGTTCCTTGGGTTAACCTGAGCAAAATGTAATCAAGAGGGCAAGTTGGCCTGGGGCCAGGGAAGCAAGAAGGAAACTGCATATCATGTACTCCAAAGTCAAGCAGGAACAAATTTTGGGTGCTTTTTTTGTTTTTGTTTTTTGAAATAATACTATCTATGCATATACATAGTTTGAATCTCATTTCTAACTTCAGTGTGACTTAATCTCTCCCTCCCTCGGTTTCCTGAGAAATCATATGTAAAAGGTAAAAAACACATGTCTACAGTGTCTAGCAGTGCCTGGCAACTTAATAAGCCACCACTCTACATCAATTATCATTAGGATTGCAAAATGGATCAGAGCAGAGGTCTTGGAGTCAGAGGAACTCCAGGATACTGCCTCCATGGATCTCATCAGCCATGAGGAAATTTCCTTAACCTCTCTAAACTTTAATGGTCTCATCTACAAAATGGGAATAATAAAACTATTTCATAGGGTACCGTAAGGATTAAAGGAGAATCTGTACATGAAATTCTTGGCACACAGTATATGACCATAAATAAAGGTTACTGCTAGTATGATGGCCTCTCCCTCAGAGAGATATGCCCCCAATAAAGAGCTATTCTGTACATTTCATAGGGTACCGTAAGGATTAAAGGAGAATCTGTACATGAAATTCTTGGCACACAGTATATGACCATAAATAAAGGCTACTGCTAGTATGATGGCCTCTCCCTCAGAGAGATATGCCCCCAATAAAGAGCTATTCTGTAGCCACCTCAGGCAATCAGACGAATTTCTCAAAAGCCATGGATACTCCAAATACCAATATGTCCCCCCATGTCCCTGCTCCTCCTCCCATGTTCCCTATTACTGTCTGTGGTATACCAATTTCCTTGTTATCCAAGTGAGAAATCCTACAGTCCTCATTGACTTCTGCCTCTCCCCCACAGCAAATTCGTTATCAGGTTCTGTTGATTCTACTTCTTAGATATCTCACCTCCATCTGCTTCTCTCCATTTGCCTGCCACAATATTAAGGCCACCATCAACTTGTCCCTAGATAACATATCTCCAGCCTGGTCTCCCTACCCTAACCTTCCCCCTTCAGTCCACTCTCCAATCTGCAACTACTGTCATCTTTCTAAAGTACGAATCTGATCATGCCTCTCCCCTGCTTTCAGCTCTTCATTGGCTCCCCCAAATAAAATCCAAGTCCCTTAACGTGGCTTCCAGAGCCTTCCATGATCTGCTTACTGCTTAGCTCCCTCCCCAGCTTCATCTCTCACTATGTCCCTTCTTGTTCTGTGTCCAGCCACACCAAATAACTTGCAGTTCCCAAATGAATCATCGCTCCCTTCCTCCCTCCCTCCCTTTCTCTTCCTCCCCCTCCCTTCCTCCCTCCCTCCCTCTCTCGATTTCACAATGCTATCCCCTCTTCTTAGAATATTCCTTATCCCTTCTCTTCTCTCTCTAACTCATTCTCAAATTTTAGATTTCAGCTTAGGTGTTATTTCTTCCAGGAAGCCTTCACACAAATACTGTGTTAGATACCCCTTCCAATGTATTTCAAATATCTGCTTATTTGTTCATCTCCTCTACTAGCCTGGGATATCCTTGTGGACAAACTCATTTTTGTCATTCAAACACTCCAAGTGCCTCAAAGACTAACTGGCATAAATCAGGCACTCAAATATTTGTTTGTCAGATAGATAAATGGATGGCCCTACTCTGTGGAGCAATCTCTGGTTGAAGGCGGCAGTGGCACTGAGCTTTCCAGTAGCCAAGCCAACCCCAGGTACCAGAAGAGGTCCATCCAGCAAAGGTAAAACCTACCTAGGATAGCTACCACCTCATCATCCTGGATCACCTCCAGGGAGCCAGAGACCACAAAGCAGAGGCTGTCAACACTCTCTCCTGCATGGTAGATGAGGTCCCCCGGGGCACAGTGCACTGTCTGGAACTCCATGGCCAGTGCCCGCAGGCAGCCATCGCTGGCCAGCCGGAAGGCCGGGTGCTCCTTGAATACCTTGCGGTTCAGGTGCACGCAGATGTCAGCTCTCATGTCCTTCGGGCATATCTGCAGGACCTGAACAAGCAGAGAAAAAAACAGTATGAGAGTTCTCACTGTGGCCTGCAGCCCACTTCTCTCAGCATCCTGGGGCAGAAACACCACCTATTAGGCAAGACTACACTCTCCTAGCCAAAGTCCCTGCCCCTGTAGAGCTTACAATCACGTAGAAGAGACAGGCAGGGTTTAAAAAAATCTGTGCTAAATATTCAGGAATGGGGTCTGAGAGTCAGGGCTGGGAGTACATGGGACTCCTTTAGATCAGTTGTTGAGGAAGGCCTCTCTGAGGAGGTGACACTTAAGCTGACACCTGCATAATTTGTCAGAGTGAGCCATGTGAAAGAAGAACATGCCAGCAGGATAGGAAGCACAAAGGCTCTGAGTGGGCCTGAGCAATAAACAGTGTGAATGAGGGGAAGGGGTGGAGATGAGGTTCAGAGAGAATGCCAAGCATGAGGGACTTTTAGGTGATGATAAGCCTTTGATTTTATTCTGAATGTGACTGGGAAACATAGGAGGATTTTTAAGCAGGTGAATGACATGACCTAACATATTTTAAGAGGATTGTTGCAGCTACAGAGTGGGGTTAGAGCATCCAGACTGCAGGGTGGCAAGAGTGGAGTCAAGGAGTCCAGTTAGGTCACTCCTGCAATTGTCCAGGTGAGAGGTAAGGGTGACTGTGACTAAGATACTGGCAGTGCAGCCAGTGAGAAGTGGTCAAATTCAGCATATATGTCGAATGTAGGACTGACAAGATTTGCTCATGGACTGAATATGGGGTGTTATTTAAAGAGAGATGTAAAGTAATATTTACTGAGCACTATTTGTGTGCCAGGCATTGCTAAGTACTTTAGAATCATTCATTTAATTCTTATTTACTGAACACCTTATAGTAAGACAGGCATCATTCTAGGCTCTGGGGATGAAGTAGAGAAAAAAATTCACACTGAAACCCCTGCCCTTGTGTAATGTATACCATCTAGTGCAAGGGGACAAATAACAAGCAAAAACAAATGAAATTTAGTAGAAAGTGCTAAGAAGAACAATATGGAAGGAAAGATTTTACATTTTAAAATGTTATATGCATTAGCTAACTTAATCATCACATAAACCCTATGATGTAAGTGCTATTTTTATATCATTTTGCAGGTGAGGAAATTGAGGTGCAGGAAAGATAAACAACTTGCCCAAAGTTGCACAGCCAGGAAATTGCAGAGTTGGGATCTCAAACTAGGCAGCTTGACATCAGAGCCCTGGTTAGATCCTAACCAACTCCTACACTAGGCAGCTGCCCCAAACAAACAGGTTGGTAATTTGACTTGCAGCATCTCGAAATTCAAGCAAAATGGGCACTGTAAGAGGTCATGGGGGTCTCATCTTCAGAGGAAATAAAAAATTTTCAGGCTTTTCTAGATGGGGAAATATTTCCCTGGACTAAATTTTTGCAAGAAACCATTGCCCAGACCTTCACATCGCAAGCATTAAGTAATACAACATGACACCTTCACATGGACTTTTCCAGAGAAATCAGGAATGTGTCTAAAATAATCATTCTTCCCATCCTAGCCTGTAAACAAAGCTGGGGGCATAAAGTCAAATGTGTTCAGTGAAGATTTTTCCTCGAGGTGCTTCATACTTTACCACCTTGCTTCCTTGCCCTCGTACAAGCCATTTGCCTCTGCATCTGGAGCTTACCCCTGAACTCGGAAGTCCCTCAGCCCCCTTCAAAACCCAGCTCAAATCCCATCTTGCCTTAGATGGCTCCCCACCCCTCTCTGGTGCCCCAGTGCTCTGCATGGAGGCATAACAGTGGAAAGAGGTCAAATAGTTGAAATCCCAGTTCCTCCCCCTCCAAGTGACTAAACTGCCCTACACTTAAGTCTCTCCTGTAAAATGCAGACTGCTAACATTGACTTGTGTGAATTAAATAAAATTATGTCTACCAGTACACTGCCTGGGACAGTGCCTGGCCCAAGTAAGGGACTCAGTAAATGTTCTCTCCTCCCTCTGTGTGCTTCTGCATTCTTGCTGTGAGGTTGCAGGATGACCGGGAAGTAAGCAGGCTCTCAGGGACTGGGGATGGAGGACTGACTGGTGCAGAGAGGAAAATTCAGACTGCCACTCTCAGAGCAGAGCACTTGCTAAGTACCTTCCTCCTTAAGACACGTTAAAAATAACACTCCTGCAGAAATGCAGATTTAATTTGGGCCCTCTTCTCTCCAAACAGATCACCAGGGACTGGGGAGCACTCGCACATCATGTCAAAACTGCCCAGTAGTTTGGAACCAGGATTTATTCTCCAGGTGAGTTCACCTTTAAATGTTTGGTTTTCCCTGGGCTGGACTTTGCTGGCAGAGGCTGCTAGTGAAGGAGACCTTGGCATGAAGACAATGTTTTATTCATGAGCTCTGTTCTCGGAGCCCATGGAGGGTACTCTGTGACGAGGCAAGGGAGCCTAGAGGAGAAAGACTGAAGATTGCCACGGCCATCAGTCACTTCCACTGTTCTTCTCATTCACTGGCTCCACACTGGGAAGGGGCTCAGCTTTGAAACCTCACAGGCTTCCTGGGCCACCTTCCCATCTGCTTGGTTCTGAGGAGAGATCATCCTTGCTATCCCTTGAGGGTCACAGGGGGGTGTCACTGTGGAGGCTCATGGAGCCTCCCCCAGACTGGGAAGGGTAAAGTTGTGGTTAAGAGAAGGGGCTTTAGGATCAGACAGATATGGATTCAAGCTCTGGCCTCAGCACTCACTAGATGTGGGAACACGAAGCAATACTTAACTCCTCCCCAAGTCTTCATTTTTGAACTTGCATACAGAGTTCTCTCCTGAGGATTTCATGAGCTGTTGTGTGGCTCAATGCCTGGCACACACAAGTACTTAGTGCCTCTGAGCTCTCATTTTGAAGTTGTTACCACAGTCACACAGGTCATCTGGGGGAGGCATTGAAGTCCAGAAGGTCATAGCTGAAAGGGCCTTAAAGGTCATCTAGTGCCAAAGGTCATCTAGTTTCCATGTGTTACAGACATGGAAACTAAGGCTCAGAGAAACAAGTCATATGCTCACGTCACTAGCTAATTACTTGTAAAACTGGAGGATCCCAGCACTACCACCCCCACCTCCTGGCTCCCCTGATCATCACTGACCATTCCGACTTAGAATGCAGAGAAGGGGAAGCCAGAGTGAGTCATGGGACCACAGGACTGGTTCTCTCCCCAGCCAGGAGGAGCAGCCACCCCAGCCAGGTTGGGCTATGCAGTGAATTGCCACACTTGAGTCCATGGCTATTCCTTCTTTTATCTAGATCAGGATCTGGGGCAAATCCCACAGCTCTCTGGGAAAGTGAGACAGCAGGGAAGGAAAGGGAGGACAAATGCTGACTGTGCTGTCTCCCATGGGCAACCACCCAGCCTAGCCCTGCAGTGAGGGTGAAGAAGGGCTTCTTTCCAGACAACCAGATTTACAAAGGCATCCTGGAGCCTGGGAAAAGGAGCCCCAGGGCAGACAGATCAAAGTTCCTTTCTGCTCCATCAGCTGCCAGGAACCCACAGAACCTACAGGCATTGTTGAGAGTAGAGTAGAAACAACAGGCACAGTTGGGGCAGTTGCTTGGCAAAGCCAGGGATGAAGTCCAGCTCCAACCAATGCCCTGCCCACCCAAGAAATTAGAACAATTCTATTCAAACTCATTCTTCTTCCCTCTAGGACATGTTTTAAATTTTAAAAAATAAAAGTAATAATAGGAAAAGCAGAAGCTTTCAAGTCAGACAAGACTGGGTTCAAATCCTGACTTTCTCATCCTGTACTCTGTGATCAGCGGCAGTTAGTAAAATAGAGCCTCTTGTCCTCTTCAATGTAGATAACAGCAACTCCCTTCCAGGGTTGTTGTGAAGCCTAAATGAAGCACTCGTGTAGGGCCAGAGCACAGGAGAAGTGCAACAAATAGTTGTTCTAGATGCATGTTCAAGGAATGGTAGCTGGAGCTGTGCTGGTGGTGGTATTATCATGGCAGTCAACAAAACCAAAGTAACCTTTTCAGTTGAGGATCAGTTAAATTTAGCTCAATTTTTCCTTTTAAACTGTCAGCTCTCAACTGACTACTGTATTCTAATGCAGGAAGACTAAGAACATGAATAGCTGACCCCAAAGCCAGTTGAATTTTACTTTGAATGTGTTAGTGTTAGGTATTTTTACAATAGTGGTATCTTTCTGTTTCCCTCCTTCTAACAGTGAAATGAATTAGTATTACCCGAGTACTTACGGACTGGCAATAAAGGGAAGAAGTGGAATTGAAAAGACTGAGAAGCAGAAATAACTGGCCTGGGATTAAATCTTTGCTTGTGGAAAATACATAAAGAAGATAATTTATAAAAGAATAATAGGAAGTTCATGGCATCTTTTCTCTATTCTTTCTACTACCAACAGACTTTTTTCACTTTATTGAACTGCATCTTGAATAATACAACTTTTAGAGAACAACAGGGATTTATCATCCTCTCCATTTTACAGGTGGGAAAACAGATGCCTAGAGAGGTACCTAACTGATGCTGTGGTCAAGTCAACTGATGATTAAGGCACAAGCCCTTGGTCAGTGTTTCCCTGACTTGTCTGATGAATGGAATCACCTGGGAACTTGTTAAACCCGCCCCCCAACTCCCCCAGGTTCTCATTCCATAGAGTTGGAGGCTGGGAATCTGTTTTTAATGACCACTTCATGGGATTTTTATCAGGGTCAAGATGAGGGTGAGTTGAATGAAGCAAAAGTCTTGGGCACATAGTTTAGGGGGTGTCAAAAAACTCAGTCAGCAAGATAAATCATAGTTTAATGCAATACTTAAAAAAATCAAACTTCACACACACAAAAAAGCCCATGATGAAGAAAATATCAAAAGTTTGAACAGAGACAAGATCAGTAACAGTGATGTGCCATCTTGGAGCCTGGGACAAAAGGAAATCAAGAATATTGATCACTCCACTCTAGTCATGGCCCTGATTTTTATCATCATCATCCAAGTTTGGGAAATTCTTCTTGGACAGTTAGACTTCCAGTTCCTCTCTTCTCCAGGAGACACAGTTTCTAGAATAATGGCTCTTAACTGCTGGTTGAGTAAGGCTGATCTGGAAGCAATCAAAACCTCTGTAGTAGGACCAGGGAATCCAAAACCACCCAGGTGAATTGTGAGAACAGGCAGGTTTGAGGACCACTGCCCTAGGAGAGCCTCATCATCCACAGGGAAAGCCAAGAGATGAGTGGTTCACCCGAGTCCCAAGCCCTCTTACCTTCTCTGTGTCAATGCCTCTGGACATGGACCAGGTAGACACGATATAATCCATGACTCGTTCACTCAATCCTTTCGGCACCTGGTAGAGTTTCAGGAAGTCCCGAACGCTATTGAGCATCTCATGGTACCTGTTAGTGTTGGCGTACATTTGTTGGAAAATGGTTGTCACGTTCCCAAAGATGGTGGCATAGAGAAGTGCTAGAGGAGAGGACGAGAATCAGAAGAAACAGCATATAAGTGGTCCCTGAACCAAGGTCCCAGAAACTTCAACTTGCTCAGAGCAGGCCAATGGCCAGAGCTGCCCCTCCCCAGTGCACAATCCTGACCTTATCAGGAGAAACTCACACCTGGAGCCTTTGGGGAGTGGACTCAAAGAGAGTCTCCTAACATCAGGCAACTAGGACAAACATGTGGGAGGCATAGAGGATGAGAGTTGGCACAGCTGGGGCCAGAGGTAGGACACAGATAGAGTGGAGGTAACGGACGAGGCAGTTGTACTGTTTCTTTTTACACTCCTTGTCACAAAAAGTTTGAGCCACACCTGAGGCCACCAGTCAAATGTGTCTCTATGTGCTCCATACCAGTCCAAATCCAGACCTATCAGTGAACAACCTTTATCAAGCTTGCTCTCTGCCAAGCACCATGCAACCTGTACCTGTGGGGAACAGGATAGTGAGTAAGACACCTAGTCCTGGTCCTTACAGAGCAAACAATGTAGCAGGAAGAACAGACCTTGAATATGTAATCATGAATAAGTCAATAATAGCAAGTCTGCAGAGGACAATGAAGGGTGTTATACTTGCTGTGATGTGGCCTCTGGGGGGAAAAAAGCATGGCTTTGATACGGTGAGAATAAAATCAGGTCCACTCTGAAATGTAACACAATGTACTTTGTGCTACTACTGCTCCCCTCAATAAGAAGAACCATTATTCATCTCAAAACCCTACCTTCTGTCTCTAACTCCGATTTGTCCCTGAATGATGAGCTCAAGAGCCATTGCTTCCAGGAAGCCTTCCCCAACACCCTTCCCCTGTAATACTCTATTGTATAGACATTCCACATTTCATTTATTCATTCATCAGTTTATGAGCACTCAGGTTGTTTCCACTTTTTGGCTATTATGAACAATGCTACTATAAATGTTTGTGTACAAGTTTTCGACCGTTTGACTTACATACCTAGGAGTGAAATTGTTGGGTCATATGGTAACTGGGTTTAATGTATTTGGGAAAATGCCAAACTGTTTTTCAAAGTAGCTCACCATTCTACGTTCCCACCAGCAGTGTGTAAGGGTTCCAATGTCTCCACATCCTTACCAACACTTATTATTATCTGTCTTTTTGATTATTGCCATCCTCGTGAGTGTGAACTGCTCTGTCATTGTGGTTTTGATTTGCATTTGCATAATGGCTAAGGATGTTGAGCATCACTTCATGTGCTTATCCGCCTTTGTGTATCTTCTTTGGAGAAATGGCCATTGAAATCTTTGTCCATTTTTCAATTGGATTGGTTGTCTTTTTATTATTCAGTGTAAGAGTCCTTTGCATATTCCTAATACAAATCCCTTATCAGATATACAATGTGCAAATACTTTCTCACATCAAGTGGGTTGTCTTTTCCCTCTCTTGATGGTATCATTTGCAGCTCAAAAGTTTTCAGTTTTGATGTAGTTCAACTTGTCTATTTTTTGCTTTCTTAAAATTTAGTGTTTATTTTTGTCTATATTATATATACAAATAGTTTAAAGAGTTAAATGACCAGGACAAAAACACTTGTCCCTTGGCCCCTCTCTCTTTTCACCCAATTTCCTGTTCTGCAGAAGCACTGACGTTGAACTATATTAGTTAATTGTTTTGCTGTTTATTTTATACTCTATTTGAATATCATGTTCAAATTGCTATGTCCTGATATTTCAGTTTGGGTCATATCCATTGACCTCTGAGAATTTAGATCTTTTCCCCCTCACTCCAACCTCACAGCCATTTCACATACCTTTTCTCATTGCCCCATCTTCCATGACAGCGACATCATCATTTTGGTCAAACCAGTATTTGTGTTTATATTATTATGACTAGCTGATACTATTCACAGCTGAACCATGTAGCACACTGTAATTACTTTTCCTTCTCTACAATGTTTTTCTTTTCCCTGTAGTTAATAATGGTCTCTGTCTTCTCATTTGCTTAGTTTTCTTATAACTCATTTGACTCCAAGCTTTTCAAAAGATAACTCTCTTCTCAGTGTATTAAAACATATTAATTTATCAATTTCATTTTCTTATACAAATCTTTCCTGGGGGCTTCTTGAACTGTTCCATTGTCAGCTGTGTGAATCTCTCTTCACCAGCAACCTAGGAAGTTGCTTCAACTTATTTAGGTTAGAACCCCTTATTCCTGAATCCCATGTCTTCTTCTTTCTTGGCTTACTCCTTTTTTTGGTAGAAGACATCCTCTAATAGTTTTCAGAGAAAGGGTAAATGGGAGAGAAGTTTTTGATACCTAGCATTTCTACTCCTACTTGATTAATAGCTGGGTGTGGAATTCTAGGTTGAAAATCATTTCTCTCAGAATTTTGGAAGCATTTCTCCCATCTTCTCTTGCTGCTGAGAAGTTAAAACCATTCAGGTCCTTCATCCTTCATATTATTACACTTGTTTTTTTCTCTCTAGAAACTCTTTTTCTCCTGTGTTCTGAAAATTCATAATAATGTACCTTTTTCTATGATTCTGTATTTATCCGTTGTACTAGGCTTTTGACAAGTCCTTTCAATTTGGAAGTTTATGCCCTTCAATTCAAGAAAATATTCTTGAATTATTTCTTCCCCTTCATTTCTCTATTCTCTTTTCCCAGGCCTCCTATTATTCAGGTGTTAGACTCCCGGATTGATCTAATTTTCTTATTTTTCTCTCCTTTTTTCTATCATTTTATGTGAGATTTCTTCAACTTTTACTTTTATCCTGTTTATTTTTCATTTTCTATCATACTTTTAATTGCTATGATTTTTTTGTTCTCTGAATGTTCCTTTTAATAGAATTCTGTTCTGTTTCACAGAAGTAATATCTTCTTTTATTTTCTCAGTGATATCAGTGATATATTTTAAAATTTTCTTCTCCCTGCTTGGTTTTTGTTTCCTCGTTTATTTCTGTGCATGCTTGTCTGCCTTTCAGATTAGAAATATATGAAAATCCTTAGATGCCCACTCATACTTAAGAATGGGGCCCTAGAAAACTAATTAAAAACTTTGTATAAATGAGTGGAGGTTGTCAACTGTGAGAATTCACTATAGGGTAACCTGGCTGGAGTTTGTGTTAAAGAATCCATGATATCATTACTTTGGGATTGTCCTTTAGGACTGCTCAGAATCCCCAGAGAAAACTCAATCTCTTGTCTGGAAAATGTTGGCAACATTCAGCCAATCAAGTGAGGAGAAGTTAAAAGGTATCAACATTCAGCGTATAAACTTTCCATTAATCCCTGTTTTCATATAGTACCTCTGTCTTCTACTGTGCCTGATCTCCCCCAGTCCAGAGACTACCTCTCAAGAATAAACCAGTGACAGAAGGACAATGATCCAGCTCCATAGAATGAGAAGGACATCTGGGGGTCTAAATGCTTCTTAAACAAATTTTAAACCAGCCCTCTTTTTCTTAGTCCCATCTTCACCCTCACTTGTAGAGGCACTTATTGCCACTATGCTTGAGTCTTCTGGGGGTTCTGGTGTAAATCAAATCATTTTTTAGATTTCCCCTCTGTCATCTTAAGGTTAAGCTTTATTGGGCCTACCAAGTCAATCATTGCTTTCCAGTTTCAAATTTTTGTTACTGTTGTCTCTCCTCTCATTATCTCTCTCTTTATGGATTTATGCTCTGAGAAAACTTTCCCTTTGCTGTTGCTTTAGTAAGGTTTCAGGAGTGATCATATGTAAATGTGTGTGTTCAGCCAGCCATGTTTAACAACAGCAATATTAATGGCTTGTGAAGGCTTTAGGAATTGCTGGCTTTGGCCCAAGGTGACTCACAGGAAAGTGAAAAATAGTTTCCAAGTCTTCAAAGTCAAGAGGTCAAAGCAAAATAATAAAAATAAATAACAATACTACCTCAAGGTAGGTATTATCACTATTTAGAAGATAAAGAAAATGAAGTCCAAGATCAGAGAAACAGTATACCACGCAGAGAGGCCAGAACCCAGGATCTGACTCCTGGCCACACTGTATACACTAAATCATCCATTCCCAAACTTCAGTGTGCATCAGAATCACCTGGAGGGCCTTTGAAACAGTTTTTGGGCTTTGCCTCCAGAGTTTCTGATTCAGTAGGTCTTGAGTGGGCTCTAGAGAATTATTTCTAACAAGTTCCCAGGTGATACTGTTACTGCGGAAACTTTGAGAAGCATGATATTATATCTTCTATCTTCTGTTGCAATTTCTTGTTTTATTTCAGAGTATGCTGTCAAACTGTATGAGCATAAATGCTGGTTTTGACTTGTTCTTCTTAGTCAAGGCTGGTTTGATTATTCACCAATTACTTTTTCTGGATAGACGACAAAAAGGAAAGAATTGCTTATCTACTAAAACTTCATTTTCAAAGTATAGTCTGTAACATTCTCAGTCTCTATCTTTCTTCCTCTCTCTTTATCTCTCTTTCCTTCAATTCTACTGCCACCTTGGCTACCCTGCCACCCTGAGATTTCATAGGTAACAACAGGAAAAACTGAGAAAGTAGAAGTCCCTTCCAATCCCTGCTTTAATCCAGACAGTGCCTAAAATTCAATATTCATTAAGGTAATTAAACCTTACTGCTGCTTATTTTAAGGAGACAATTTCTTTATTTTTTGCCCCCAAAAAGACTCTCACTATATGAATTTCCATTAAAATAAAATCTCCAGTCTTATGATCCTTAATTCTCCATTCTCCAGCCATCTGATAAGAATGAACTGCTCATTAAGTCAGGTAGATGCACTGGTAGCTGGGGTGGGGGGTGGGGGATATTAACACACACAATATTGGCACTAGGAGCTCAGAGCATTCCAGAGATTTTCACTTTCAAGTCATTAATGAAATACAGCAAGTAGGGTTTTCTAAAAAGGCAGAGAAGGAGCTCAGAAGTTGAATCTTCTTTCTATGTTAAGGGAAGCCCAGCAAATCTCTATAGGTGAATCCAGTGACTTCTACATCCACAATATTATCTCTTGATAAGGAAAGAAATATGGGGGTCTTCAGAGTTATATCCTCCTGGGTTCAAATTCCCACTCAGCTGCTTAGAACTGTGTGGCCAGATACAAATTTCCCTCTGTTTCTGTCAGTCTGACAAAAAGAAAAATGCCTGCTCACTTCCCTGAGTTGCTGGCAGAATTAAAAGGTATACTGCGTGAAAGTATCTAGAATACTGAGCTGGTACACAGAGACCCTCAATGCTTCTCTTTCTGTTAATTGTCCTGGAGTCAACTGTCTTCACACACAGCATTTTGTTAAGACAGTAACGTGGTACATTAGCCTGAATGGAGACTGTTGTCTTGATTGCATACATAGACTCAAAATTTATCATTACAGCACAATATTGGAGTCCAGAAGAGAGATGTTTTAAATCAAGTCCATCAGGCACAGTGGCCTTCAAAGGAACCTCTAAAATCCATAAATGTTAAGAACTCTGACCCACCAGCTGAAATACTGCCTATTTTGTAATTTGGAAGGAAGCTATTCATGGATGAGAAAGGCAGAAGAGTGGAGGAGAGGGAAGGAGAGAGAATAAGTCCTGGGAACCAGACTTAGTCCTTTTTCTATTTCATCTGGCCCTCATGACAGCAACATATCTAATTTTGTTAATGTAGTATTTTTAGTCTTTGCTGTTGTTACTGCTTTTGCTTATTCTAATGTGATAATGATGGAGTAGGTGTGAGGACAATGTTTACATTGGCATGGCAACTGGCAACTAACTTTTAAATTCTTATTTTCTATGACTTGGAATTCATAGCTATGAATCTCATTGTCTGTGCAGAAATGGGTTCTGTAGTAACAATGGGAAGAAAAAGAAGTAACTACTCATTGCCATCAATCCAGCATAGGAGGAAGATGTGTAGGAGAATGCAGAATCTGTGTTTTGGAGACAAAAAGCTGCATTTGGAATCCTGGTTCCACTACCAACCTCAGGATAATCATTCTAAATTTCTCCATATGTAATGGAGTTAATGATTACCTTATAGTTTTATTTTTTAATACGTGGGATAATGTATATGAAATGTTTTTCACAGTACCTGGTTCATAATAAATACTCAATAAATAATAAGAATTAATAGCAGGATGGTCAAAGACTAGAGATAAACAATTTTCTCTAGCGTTATCATTTCCTAGAAATGTTACTTCACTAACTTAATCACCAGATGTCTTAATTCAACAAATATTAACTGAACACCCAGGTGTGTCATGTGCTGTGCTGGGAAACAACACAGTGTAGTGAAAATAACCTGGGCTCTGAAGAGAAAGGAGCTCTGTTCTTCAGTTTCCTCATTTGTGAAAGAGGAAGGATAATACTCGCCTCTCAGGGTTGCTGGGAAGATTCAATGAATAAACATGACAAATGCCAAACATAATGCTGGCATGGAATAGATCCATAATAAATCTTAGTTTTCTTTCCTGAACCACCCAGTGTTAATCTCTCTTCATAAATCACCCCTGAACTCCTCAGCTCTTGGCCTTGAACAGGTAAACCCTACTGTGATACATAGGCCTGTGCTGTTCCTTAAGTAGAAGACTTTCTGGAGTGCAGAAATTGTGCTGGAGTCATTTCAGAGGCATCTTCCTCTGCTTTTAGTGAGTGCTCAATAAATTCTGCTGACTGTCTCAAAAACGTGTTTGTTCAGGTTCAGTTACTCAAGGGTTTCTCAAAGTGTGGTCTCAAATCAGCAGCATCACATTACTCAGGCATCGGGTAGAAATGCACATTCTCAGGCCCACCCCAAACCTACTGGATCAGAATCTTTGGAGGTGGTTAAAGTTTGAGAAGCACCACTTTATGCCATATTG